AACTTCTCTGAAACAGAATTCAGCCTGGAAATAAACATTAGGAATGCTGGCTGAGAGCATGAATGCATTTGGCCAGAAAATATCTGTGTTTTCATTTGTTGTCAGCACATACAGAAGCCAAGAGTTAACAGGCTTGAAAATCCTTAATAGGCAGCACATTCACAGTAAAGAGAAGGATCTTTGTTAGCAGTCCCTTTCCTGAATGCCTCTTTCTGCTGAAACCAAAGACTGAGCAGGCATCTCCAACCCACACAGCTGGCTTCCTCGAGCTCCTCAGACAATGCCTCCATGGTCTCCCTGCTGCTTGTGCTAATGACAGGGTCGAGCAACTCCACACCAAGAGGAATGGTAAGTGAAGTGATTGTGGCTGGTAGTCAGGAGGAGATCTGGCTTAGCTCCTCCTGGCCTTGCAATAGCAGGAGTTTGCAGAGGGTAGTGCCCTGTTTTGGAGAACTGGGAGAGGGCAGGCTTCTATTTGATGGGCAACCCAGTCCTAGACTGGCTGGAAGTCAAAGGACCATAAGGGTAGAAGAGAGGAGGAGACTTGTACTTGCCTGTCAACAGTCAGCACCTGGATGGAACAGGCAGGCATATGGGTGGCCTGGTCAGGCTTCTCTGCTATGCAGAAATGTATGTCTACTGAAATGGTCACTGTTGTTGCACCTGTCATATAGTTGTTCATATGCTAATTGGAATCCTCTTTCCCCCTCTTGATTGGTGATGCTCTTCCTTTGTTCTGGCCACATGGGTGGCTAGTCCAGGAGCAGGCTGGCATGGGTATCGGAAGAATGGCCATCGCTCCAGCAGCTAGAGATGCTGGTTGATTGTCCTTTGAAGAAGACTGTGGAAGGGCAAGGGGCAGAACTGGGTTCCCCACTCAGTAGTGCTAAAATTCTTCATTCCAAAGACCTCCCAAAAGCCTGCTAGCAGTCTCATTCTTTGCTCCAGAAAGAAGAAGAGGAAGAGGAAGAGGAAGAGGAAGAGGAAGAGGAGGAGGAGGAGGATGCCTTAGGGTGCAACCCTATGCATGTTGAGACAAGAAAAACCTACAACCTGCAGCATTTCTGAGCCATCGTTTTTGCAGGTGGCCCCACAGTTGCAAGGGGTGCACTTGGAGTCTTGTGCTTTGAGGCCGGAGCCTAATCTCATGTTTCCCCCTTTATGTGGTCCAGCACTCAAAGCGTCACCTCAGGCTGGCTCTCTTTGACCTTGTGGACTGGCAGATCAGGATGTTTGTATTTGTAGTAATCAACTGCTGGTGGAGTGAGATAAAAGGAAAGCTGAGATTTTAACCTTTGCTTTACTGTGATCTACACACACCTGTGGACTTCTTTTCAAATGAGCCCCTCAGTGCTCTTACTTTCTCATTCTGTTGTATGTAGGTACCTGCTTGTGTGTAGACTCAATAGAGAACCCAGTCCTTTTGACACCCTCATCCTAAAACATTCCAAGCGTTAAAGTTCATCACTCGCACTCTGAATTAGAATTAAAAACAATTGGAAACCAGGACTGCCATTCACCAGGAGAGCCACATAGCTGCAGCCAGTGGCTATCTTGATGCCTTCTGGACAGTGCTTTTTTGTAAGAAAAATGGTGCCGGAACTCATGAAATTATTTACCTTTCTCACATAGTCAATCACTGTACACACACCCACACACATCAGTTGTGTAACGAAACATAACGGTTGCTGCCCGCAGTAAGCACTCGGCACGTAACCACACGACCAATCACAAGCCAAGTAGCACCACAAGCTGAGCAGTGCCATCACAACCAGCGTGGACGAAGTACGCATGCATCAGATTCGACACACAAGCAGCCCACATGCGCCATTTTAATGATTTTGCCGCCAACCTGATATGCTCGACAGGGTGATTCAAATCTACATGGACCAAACATCAAATTTTCAAAAGTTACTTTTAAAACTTGGAAAATCTGTCAAAAAAAGGTGCCGGAACTCTGTTCTGGTGCGTTCTATGACAAAAAAAGCACTGCTTCTGGATGACCTGTAGTTTCCAAAGCATTTTCAAAAGCAGCTGAATACACAGTGCATTGCAACAATCCAAATATACTGGAGCTGTTGCATGCATCATCCTATATAATCGTTAGCTTGTTCATTTTTATTATTATTACTACATTACATTGCATTTCTGTACCACCAGTAACAGAAGCTCTTTGGGCCATTCACAACATATGAGTCACCTTTCCAGATTTCAACCAGGCCCAACCCTGCTTAGCTTCTAAGTTTAGGCAGGATCAGGCACTCCAAGCTATATGGAAGAGAGCTTGCATATTGCCTTTCTGCATGCAAATAGCCAAGTGCTCTGGAGTGAGATCAGTCATATGAGGAAGCTCTGCAACCAGAAGGATATTAGTGAACTCCACGTTTACTTTATTAATAATTTGTTCCCATATTACAGCTTTATAATCAGTGTATATCATCTTTGACACAGGTGGTTTTATTTCTTTTTGATTATCCTGAAACCTTAAGTTATAACTGCCCGAGCCCTCTGGGGTAATATTATTGTAAACTGCCCAGAAAGCTTTGACTGTGGCATAAAAATAAATGAATAAAATGTTAATAGACCAAAATGGGTTCAAAATCTGTTGTTAAAAGAGTAAAGATTTTAATTGCTTCTCTGTTCTCCCTCCCTTGCCCTCTTTTATTATTTCTCTTTTTGCAGGTTTACTTCAGTGTGATGTCTCAGACAGATGGACATATAATGGAGCGTTTGTAAGATTAGCTCTCCACACCCAAATCCCCTGGAATGCAGTTGGCAACTAGAGGACCACAAAAGTGACCAGCCCTGAGTAAGGCTATTGTGGAGTATTTAAAAAGAACCTTGAAACTGTGAAATGTTAAGACAAAAATGGTCACCTTTGCCCTTGGCATGCTCATAGATTTTAGCATCCATGGTTCATTTTGACATCACCCCATCTGCCATCTGGCCCAGATGAAAAGGGAATCTGAGGTCTAACAGATCAAGTCCACTGATCCCGATAATGGGACTTTCCTAAACCCCAGATTACATCGCTGCCCATCAGCTAGAAGTGAAAGCAAATACATTTGAGCTACTTTCCAGACATTTTGCATCACGGCCTGAGCATATTATAGCAGGAACCTAAACAACTATTTTATTTTGAGGCTCTAAAATGAAGCCACTCCCACACAACTGAGATGGGGTTGCGCGAAAAGAGTCAAAGCAGAAACTGGAGTTTCTAGATCTGCTTGAATCCTGGTATATCTCATTTTAGAACTGAAGCACGGCGGCTGGATTTGAATCTCAAAGACTTTGCATGTGTGAGGGAAGATTGTGTTGGTTTTAAAAAACATTTTCTTTGGTTAAAGTGCAGTCTAGTAATTTCAGGGTGAGACACATTCTTACCTGGTGATTTTTTTTGTTCTTTCTGCATTTTCTATGTATTCTACATCCATCTGGATTTGCTGATATCCCTTCCAGAAAATCCTTGGGCTGCCTCACACTGCCCACCCTCCATTGCACAGCCTGAATTTGTGGTGTACCTTTGTGTGCAGATAGTAGTATGTGATGTACACATATAGATTGTCACGTGATGATCATACCTGCATATATTTTGCAGTAAACATGCATATTGGATGCTATGCTCGGACATGGCTTCTGAGTACATGTAGAGAGTCCAGAGGAAAATACATGTAATGTATTGCATGAAAACTCTAGTCTGCCACCGCGTTCCCCATTTCAGATGTGTAGGGTAGGCTGTTACTACTCTGTGTTACTCATGTACAAACAACTTCCTTTATCTCTACTGTAAATATTTCAGGGCTGTAAATATTTCATAACACTGAAAAGGTATTTTGGGAATAAGCCAATCTAAATCCAGTCCTCCTTTCTCAAATGCCTCTCACAGGTCTATTGTGAATTCACTTTGCACATTTTCAGGATGAACCTATGCATGTGTGCTCTGTTGTACTGTGAACAATGAGACATGCTCCCTGTTAAGTGCGCATAACGTTGCAACCTTACTGTGCAATTGCAGGCATATCTACCTGGAAGTAAATCTATTGAGTTCAGTGGAGTCTGTTTCCAGGCAAGTGTGTGACTGCAGCCTTAATCAGTGTTGGGAACACCGGCTCTAAGCTGTCTGTCTGTCTGTCTGTCTGTCTGTCTGTCTGTCTTTCTTTCTTTCTTTCTTTCTTTCTTTCTTTCTTTCTTTCTTTCTTTCTACATACCACCAGAATGTGCCATAGCTGCTGTTAAGACTGCATGGATAAGGTGAATTTTTAGTGCCTGTAAATTGGAAATGTGCCGCTGGGTCATAGGAGCCCACGGGAAGATGCCTTTTACTGGGTCAGACTGGGGTCCATCTAGCTCAATATTGTCGGCTCTGAATGGCAGCGGCTCTCCAGAGTTTCAGGCAGAGATTTTTCTAGCCCCTTTTGGAGATGTGGGGATTGAACCTGGCACCTTCGGCATGCAAAACAGCTGCTCCGTCACTGCGCCACAGACCCTCCCATCATCCTCATCATACACTAAGCTGAGCAAGCAGGATTAAATAACTTAAGCATTATTTGTAGAACGCGGCGGTGCCTTGAATTGCCACGAATTGCGCACCATCCGTCCATTTCGCTGTCGAAGGACAGCAAACGCCCACCCTGTGAATGGGTTTAGGGTGAAGAAGAGACACCCCCCTCCCTCCCCACCGCCCAGGGATTGTCGTGTATCCAGGATTAGTCCTACTCAGAGTAGACCCACTGAAAGGATTGGGATTTAAGGGAGATTCGCACAGGAAGTAGGACAACCCCCAAGCTCCCGTAAGATTGATGGAAGAGCTTTGCAGGAGCCGAGCGATCAGATTTCCCGGGCTGGCCTTGCTCTGCTGGCGAATCGGCAGCCAATCAGAGGGCCGCAACGCCTCCGCGAGCCTCTTCCCGGCCCCCTTCGGACCGCCCTTCTTTGTTGCGGCGCCCAATGGGGACGCTCCGAACGTCGGCGGCTGCCGGGTAACATGGTTACATGCCAGAGAGCAACGCTTGATCATGGAACATGGACTAAGGCGAGGGCGACGGAGGCAGCCGCCGCGGCAGCATCAGCAGCAGCCTCCCGGAGAGTCTCCGGTGCAATGAATCCCGCCGCGACCCGGTGAGGCTGGCGGCGGCGGCGCTACGGCGGGTGGATGGGTGGGGTCCTGGCGGGGGCGTGCGCGTGTGGGAGCAGGCTCCGTCTCCGCGGAAGACGGGCTTGTGGCAGGGGAGCGAGCAGCCCCCCTTCCCTCGCTCCCGCACGCCACGTCCCAAGCCGCCTCCATCTGTTGGCTCCCGGGAGCGTGCGCTCGGCGCGGCAGCACCAGCCCGACTCGCGCCAGTCGGTTTGCCGCATGCCAGCCCCGCTGTGGGGCTGCACCGAGCCGTCCGTCCCCCAAGAACGAGGATCGGGGCGATGAGCGTGGGGCGCGCGCGGAGAGGCGAGATCGGACCTTCTCTCCGTACCGTCGCTCGCGCGCGCTCCTTGTGCGTGTGTGTCCTGGCTGGGGTCTCCCATTCCCCCTTTCCAAGCGCCCACCGAGGTCCCGGCAAGCCGGCAGGGGGATTTCGCGGCGGACGGGTGGACAGGACCATGCCACGGGAAAAGCAGGCTCCCCTGCCCCGCAGCGATCCTTCGTGTGCGTCCGCTCTCAGAGGTGGTCTGAAATATATTTCAGGCACGGGGAAAGGCTCGTTCCCGGCCGCCGTCGCTCCCTGGTGAAGACGGTCGCGGGGATCCCGAGCCAGACGGTGCGCTTCGGGTCCTTCGCCCTTTTGTCTGACAGGTGAACTGGGTACGCGCCAGCCTCGATCAGGTCCCTTCTATTGTTCGCTGGTTCCGGCTGGCAGCCAAGCGTGCGCGCGAGTGTGGCGGCCGGCGGGGTCTCCGTGGGCCAGCTCGCCGCCGGAGAGCAGGTGGGAGGTGGAATGTTTTGCCTGGCCTCCCCGGGATGCGAGCCCTCTCGGCTGACACACGTGTCGTCTTCCGTTCCCCGCTGTCTTTTTAGGTTCTGTCTGCACGAGGAGAGCCCCGCCAGCGGTCTGATGCTTGTCCGGTGCTTGGCGAGCAACTTCGCGTCAGCCTGACTCCTTAGGCAGGAGAGGCGAGGGGGGCGGGCGGCGATGGAGTGGGTTGCCCCGCTCGGGTGTTGAACTGTCTGCCTTTCCCGCCCCATCACCGGACTGCTCGTTCCGTTTTGGAGCTCGCAATGACAGGATCCGGCTCCAACGCTTCCCGCAACCCCCACCCCAAAGGAGACAAAGGGGGCCGCTCCAGGAGTTCCCACGCTCGGCCGACCAATATCACCAACAACGGGGGCTCGGAAGAGGAGGACAAAGACGGAGGGGTGGCATTCTTTGTCAACAAAAGTGGCTTTCCGATCGACGGGCAAACCTGGGAACGGATGTGGGGGCACGTGGCTAAGGTGCACCCTTCAGGCAAAGAGATGGTAGAAACCATAAGGAATGCTACCTTCCTTGCAAAGGTAAGGTATCTCCAGGGTTTTTCCACCTCCAAGCTCTTATTCTGTTCCTTACAGGCTCGGATACTCTGGCCAAGCTTTCCCCAACTTGGCGCCTGTAAGCCAATGGTCAGGAACAATGGGAGTTGTGGTCCAAAAGTTCTGGAGGACAGCTGATTGGGAAAGGAATTCAACCCAGAATGGTTGAATTCAGCTCCTTGGCATATCTGTCTGGCTGCATGATCATGTCTGCTTTCCAGATGGATTGTCTCAAACAACTGGGTGTTTGGGTCTTGCCTGACTCTTTCGCAACAAAAAGAATAGCTGGAAGTAGGCTGACCAAAGGCATTTCACTACGTGAAGCAAAGGATGAGATCTGCCCCCCACCCCCCATTCTGTGCCCAAATGCCCACTGGGCTGGCCATGGAGCCTTTCCTCCACAGCCACCCCCCACCCCGCTCCTGAGGGCATCGGCGGATGCAGGGATGGCCGTGCGGCATGCCAGCGCTCTCCTGCAATACCTCGCTGGTATCCCCCCCCCCCCCCCCCCGCATGTGCTGCCTGTCAGTGGCTGCTGCCTCACTCTCCCTAATGGCAGGGCTGGCCCCGACTGGAACGAAGGGCAGGCATAGGCATGGGGTTCTTGACCAATGCCTCTGCAGCCTGGCTCAGCCAGTTTCTGAGGTTTTGTCAGCTGCGCACATTTTATTTTTTACTGCCAGAAGGACTAGAAAGTTGCTTTTTTAAAAAGTTGGGCTAATATTTTAGGATACCAAATTGTGTGCATTTGTGGAGTGCTTGAATATGCTATGCTCTCATCAGCCTTGCTTTTGCAGGTCCTTGAGAGAGCTCTAAATGTAGCCCAACAGCTGCTCATATTTCCCCTTGGGGACAATACTTGTAGTTGCGTATTACAATTGAGACCCAGGGGGGTAACAGTTACATAGTCCTCTGGGCGCTTCCATACTAAGTGCTTATTTTGAGCCACTGATCACTTTCTGCCCATTTGAAAAGATTGAGTTTTGCCATGTATTTCCCCAAGTAACTGTGAAAGTTTGCAGTTCTCTGTGAAGCTCTCATGCTGCAATGAATTTACAGGTGGTGCGACAATAGAATTCGACAGGGAAAACAGCACTTTACTCGGAAGTGCATTGCATGTTGCATTTGATACGATGGAATTAGAAGTCTCCGTACTAATTTAGAAATGAGTTGGTTTCCATTCTCAGCCGCTTCCACTCGGACTGGCTGCTTCAAGGTTGTTACTTGTCCTTGGTACTTTCTGCATACAGGTAGGTTCTACCAGGTCAGGGCTACCTGGGATCCTTTTGAATGGTACTGCCAGTAGCTGAAGCTGGGACTTTCACTGAGCTACATTCAATGAACTCCACCACTTGAGGTTTTGAGAGCGGAGGCCTTCTGGCAGGGGTCTCGTGGAACTAGAGTTTGCCCCCTCCTCCCCACTGAATCCTCTCTTCTGAGCTTAGCTGCACACCTCATAGGATGGTGAGGATGGAACTGAATCTTCCAAGCAACAAGCTATCATACCCTGTTATCACAATATTTTGGGGTGGCTTGATCTTGAATGAGCAATGAAGGCCTATTTTCAGGGGCCGGAATGTGAGTGGCAGGAGTCGAGACAGAGGCACTGGTACCAAGCGAAAGAACCCAAGGTGATACAGAGTCCAAAGCCTAGTGGTGAAGTCCAACAGCACAGTCCAAGTTGTAGATGTACAAGTCCAAGAAGTACGTCAGCAGGACATGGATGCGATCCTGAACAAGCCATGGATGCGATCCTGAACAAGCCATGGATGTGGTCCTGAACAAGCCATGGATGCGATCCTGAACAAGCCATGGATGCGGTCCTGAACAAGCCAAGGGTCAAGAACTAGGAAGACAAATAGAGCTGTAGGTACCTAGAGGCAGAATAACTGGGCAGGATTCAAGAGCAGTGAAGGTGTGACAGGCAGGGCAGGGCAAGATGCAGGAGGTGAGCAATTGGCAGACCAGCCCAGATGTTGACACTCATTCTTTTACTAAGCAGCTGCTCCTGGTGAAGATGCAAACTGCTGCAGGTGTGCGGTTGATGTGGAGCAACCCAGCCGCCAGCATCTGGAGCTTTCCTGGGGGCGTGGCTGGGGGGGTGGGGCTGAGAACGTTTGGAGGGACCGTGGATGGGGAAGGCTGCTGTGGAGGCTGCCCACAGCCCAGCATTGAAGAGGGGCAAGGAGAGAAAGGTTGTGTAGCCGCGGGTGACAGGAGGGGCTAGTGGTGCATTGGATTCGGCAGGGCCGATTTGCTTGTATATTATGTCTTGGGGAAGATGCTCACAGAGCTAATACATTGCCAAACACAGAGGATGAAGTTTGGACTCAAAGGTGGCTATGCCTTTCTTGGGCTTTGAGCTCAAAAGACATGGTACACCTAGGGAAGGCTGGTGACTCCCGTGTTAACGAGGCTGTTTTTCTAGGGCAGCGTTTATGGCAGGAGCTATAACATGGTACTGAACTCCACCTCCAAAGTAGGTTTGCTACCATGGATAGCTCCTGTAACTGAAAAAGTAAAAGCTGCAATGGATAAGGAGTCACACTAACATGAGATCACTAGCTCCCCCTTTGTACCGCATACCTTCCCAGTGATGGAAATTATTTAGAAAAGTGTATTCAGATCTCTTCTGGAGTTCGACATTGGGCAATGGTTTGGTGTAATGTATGGGAAGTGGCAGCTGTACCCATCCTCACAGCAGGTCAGAGATTAAGGCTTTGATCCTGATCTGGCTTTAGGAGGACTTCCCCATAGCACTAAGAGGGTCATCCAGTTTAACATTGTTCAGATAAAAATTGCAACATGGACTGGGGTTATCACAATCTGTTTCGGGAGTTTCTGCAAATCTTCCTTACTGAAAAGGCCTTTTGAAATTTGTTATTTACAATTTTATACCTTTTCTAGCATCATGGATAGAATACAATTATTGAATTGTTTGCTTTGAACCTTTAGGTGTTTTTCTGTTTTGTTTTAGGAGAGCTGATGGGAATAGAATCTAATACTCTGTTTCATGGGAAAGTGGCAGTATTTTGTCATTAGTTGCTCTATTCTTTGTACCGTTGCCTAGATTTTTTGTTCTGGTTTAGCTCACAGAGGCCAGTTTCCAAGGTTTAGCTCACAGAGGCCAGTTTCCAATGTTATCCTGAATCTCTTGTGCATTCCTTCTAGCATTCCCTTTTACCTTTGATTTGAAAAATTGGGGATTGCAATTTGTCCAACCAGAGTTGCCCGCTTACCAGAAAAAATAGCTCAGCTAGCTCTCGTACCTGTGCCAAGAGACCTGAGTGAGTGAAACTTGTGTGCAGATCAAGCTTCCTTGGAGTACTGTGTTCACAGTTTAAGATGGACTTCAACAAATTAAAATATATCTGGAGTTGGGCAGGGGAGATGGGAAGAGAGAGGTCAGCTCATAAGACAAAAGGAAGATGGGGGTGGGTATGAGATGTTGGAAAATGTATGATGAAGAAGCAATATTTTAAGGGCTGACCCATGATGATGGGGCAAATATGTTTTTTGTTGCTCCAGCAAGTTGGAGCTGAATCAGTGGGTTCCAAAAATTCCAAGAAAGCAGATTTGAACTAAACCTGAGGACAGCCCTTCTATAAGTACCTCAAAGGCTCTCACAAAGAAGGAGGTCAAGATCTCTGCTTGCTGATGCCAGAGTATAGGACACAGAATAATCAATTCAAGTTGCAACAACCCAGATTCAGACTGGATGTCAGGAAAAGCTTCCTCACTGTCAGAGCAATGCAATAGTGGAACCAGCTGCCTGGAGAGGTGGTGGGCTCTCCAACACTAGAGACATTCAGAAGGAAACTGGACAGCCATCTGAGTGGGATGGTGTAACTTGGTGTCCTGCAACAACAGGGGGTTGGACTCAATGGCCTTCATGGCCCCTTCCAACTATGATTCTATGAGTCTATGATTAATGTATAAGCTAATCATGAATGGAATAGACTGTTTTGGAAAGTGGTGGGCCCTTCTGTATTCGAGAACACTGAATGGCCACTTATGAAGGATATTGTAGTGGTGCATTTCTTGCATTGCGAGGAGGGTGGAGATTAGAACTGGGCGATCTTTGCGGTCTCTTCTGATTCCATCATTCTGTGATTCTGTATGCTGCTTTTAAAGGCAGAGGAACATGGCCTGTGTGTTTGTGTGTGTGTGAAGTTGGCAAGCCTCTTTGGCAGCTGCTGGCTCAGTGGACTTACTGAAGTAAGTGCTAAATTGCAATGTACAGAAATCTGGCTTATGACATCTGAATTTCATCTGTAATTAGCAATGCTTTTCTTATTAGAGTCTCAGAGGGGAAGCATGCATAGCTGAGAATTCCCCAGGAGAGCAAAGAGTGAGGGTCTGGGCTTCAGTTGCATCCCGACACCCCAACTGCTGTGGTAAGCCATGGGAGCAGATGCTGCCCCTTTGTGTCTTCCCACTGCGTTCCATTCCAAATTCCGATTTGGCACCATGGGACTTGTGGCTGGAACGTCTGTGACTACGCTGATGGATGAAACAGCTGGCAAGGGAATGATGGCAACACTCACAGTGATGGAAACAGTCCAGAGATAGCAGCTCTTTCAGCCACCTGTTGAGCTTACAAATCTAAAATCCTGGAGAGACTTGAGGCAGATGTCTTCATGAATCACCCATGCACTTTAGTGGTTGGAGACACGGCTGTCATCTGGATGAGCAGGCCGAAGGTTTTGTCTCCCTGCCTCACCAGTGCAGTCTTATCTGTGAAAAATATGGGGATCCTACAGGTGTTTTGGACTACAACCCCCAGCATTTCTGACTATTGTTCAGTGCTGATTGGGAATAATAGGACCTGAAATCCAATGCAGCTAGGGCGCTCCAGGTTGGATGAGGCTGTTGATGGACAGTCTTCTCCAACCTGGAATCCTCCAGATCTGTTGGACTACAGCTCCCATCACCCCCAAACTAGTGTAACTAATGACCGTGCTGACTGGGAATGATGGACATTTTGATGCAACACCTTCAAGAGGGTACCAGACTGGGGAAGGGTGGTTGATGTCCAACTCATGTTGCATAAATGATGGTTCAAGTTACTGTGTAAATGATTATTTAAAGTCTTTAAAAGTACTGTCACTTATTTTATTAATATTTGTATCACAGAGTGGGATCGCTGAGGTGTTGTTGGTATGTCATTGCTGTACCACTCTGCAGCTGAAGCTCTTCAGCAGTACTGGGACCATTTTAAATAAATTGGTAGTGATCCAAATACTGGAGACATACTTAAAGTTCTGGAAGCTGGTACACATGTTGAGGAAAAGGCAATTTCTGGGGCTGCAAAGTTATAATCAGTCCTTGTGTGCCATCATCAAATTGTTAACAGCCTATAAAAGCAGGTGCCTAGTGCTTTTTCCAGCTTATTTTTTAAAAAGTTGTTCTTAAGCAAGCTTCTCTGCCTTTCCCAAGAATTTTGTACCAAAGATGTCTGGGAGACGCTCAGCATCTGGCCTGCCTCTTGCCCCATATGCCAGCGGTTCAGCTGCTCAGTGCATCCTCCGCATGCGCCTGTGTCCATTTGTCAATTGACGGCGTGGAGCAGACATGCGATACCATAATGAGCTCCCTTCCATTGTTGCTAGACAGCTGCAGAGAATGTTTCAGGGCTGGGGTTAGTGGTGCTGAGAGATGAAAAACCTGTGGGTTGCACTGCCCTGCTGTAAAACTCTCACTCGATTGAGCAGCTCTGGCTTGAGGCTAGAATAGGAGAGACAGAGCTGCCCTTTAAGAGGTCAGTTGTTTTCAGCCATTGACTGGGCATGTTGCCACCCAGACTGCCGCCTGTGCACACGCCTTGAGAATAACTTCTGAATGAGCGGAGGGCTGGGCTTTTGTGTCAGCAGAAGACAGGCATGGTGGCATCACCGAGATGAGCCCAGCTCTTTCCTGCTGCTGGAATAAAATCACTCAGCTGCTTACCTAAAAACAATGGCCTCTCTCGACATTTCTCTCTCCTTCTGTCTCTCCCCCTCCCCCTCCTCCTCCACAGCCTTCGGTGCCCTCCGTGCCAAACTACAAGACTTGTATGACCATCCCAGAATGGCTTCAGGCAATACAGAATTACATGAAGATGCTGCAGTATCCTTTATTTTCTAGACTGTATTTTATTGAAGACATCCTGAAGATGGAAAACAATGCCAATCTTATCTATTCAGCTGCGAATGAGTGAATGCATGAATGAAATGGCAGGAGGGAGGGAAAGACAGAGATAATTTATTAGCATGATGGTAGAACATGAATAGGAGGAGAGTGTCCTTGCTGTCAGTACTAGCTCTTGAGGAAGATTTGTACACGTGGCATGCTTCACTTGGTCTTTGGGGCCTCATAATTAGCTTTAGCTGACACTGAAGAGGATGTAATTGGAAAGAGAGAGAGATTGAACATCTATCGATAGAAAGGTTGTCTGTGAACTTGGTTTGCAAGGTCACCAAGAGGGGACTTCTCAGGCGTCTGCTGTGCTAAATTGCACAATAGAAGAGACATGTTCCAATGGTGATGTTCCTTTGGTTTCTTTGAACTTTTTACACATACCTTTGATAAACCATAAGAGTGAACATAAGAACATAAGAAAAGCCATGCTGGATCACACCAGAGGTCCGGCCAGTCCAGCACTCCATTCACATGGTGACAAACCAGCTGTCCAGAGGATGTCCCAAGCAGGATGGGTGCAAGAGTTCCATCTGCCTGCGCTCCTCAGCGACTGGTGTATGTAAGCCTGCAGCTCCGAAAGTGGAGGTAGCACCTAACCAGCAAGGCTAGTAGCCATTGATCGCTTCCTCCTCCACGGCCATGTGAGTGGCTTCTGGCAGATTCAGAACCTTTCTCCACTTCTTCTTGGCAGAAGGGAAAAGTGAATGAGGGAACTCCAATGACCAATGAATTATAATATCTGCACAGTCCTTAATAATGCAGCCACCTGGAATGCAAGTCTTCCCAGTCAGCTTAAACAGTATATTCCCAGCTTGACCCATCCCGGTGTTTCCACAAAACACCCTACTTTGTCTCTCCCATACTTTGGGATGGGGTGTACTGCACATGAATTTCCTGGGTGGCCCCACAACCTATTAGAACCACATAAAGGCAGCAGGTTTCGTGAAGTGAGGTGTGGGTGGAACCAGCTGGGAGGAAGAAGCCCAAAAAAGAGAGAAAGATGAGCATTTGCATCCTGCAAATTGCTGGAGGGAGGGCGGAAGCTCTCTGAAGTGAAGAAGAGGAACAGCAGAGAGGGAGAAAAAGACGTTGGTTTCTTATCCTGAATACTGGATAAGTAGTACGGGAAGGGGTAGGAGCGACAAAAGGGGTGGGTAGCCTGGACCTGGGAAATTGGTGGGTATAATCAGCCTGCCTGGGCCTATGCTGGAATTAACCTCTGGACTGGAGGATATAACTGACCCCAAAGGGATATAACATATTTGAGACATATCCCATGGTACTTCACACTTCATGTATCCCGATACACTGAAGGGTCTTTGTTCAGTCTCTCCTCCCCTCCTAAAATGTTTATATTTGTTTTCTTTTTGATGGTGTCACTGAAAGGTCACTGGGGTCAGTTAACTACCAGTTAAAGTGAATGAGGGAACATAAAACTTGGATTGTTAAGGTTCTGAGGGTTGAAAGAACTTGAATATAGTGGTGGTGGTAGGTCTAATTTAGAGTTAACCATGGTTTGACTGTTTCAGGGATGCCTCAGGCTTTTGTACAGCCTGTCTACTTTCTCTTCCATTTGTGGACTCCAGTTCTCTTGCTTATGCCCATGTTTGCCATAACTGTGGAGTAAAATTAGATTTTTTTTCACATATAGAACTTCAACTGCTGGGGCATGCTGTGAATGGAAGAATTTTTCTATCTAAACATGCACACTTAATGTATTTGAAAACCTGGGGTATATTTCTAGAAGATATTATACTCTGCACTTATTTGAACCTCATCTGTACCCTCAACTGCATTTTTGCCTTAACTGGTAACACCCAGATACAATCATACTGGAACTCAATTCTTTGAAATTAGAAAATCAAGACCTCTAAGTGGGTAAGTAATATCTTTCTTGTTTGGGTTCCCAGGGACCCCTGATGCTGTTAGGGGTTTATATGGGTCAGATGAATAGACTATATGGATAAAATGGCACAGAGTTGATTGACCTGTCCAGCTGAGAATCTCCTGGGATAGCTCACCAGTCTCCGGCAATTCATCTGAGATCTTCTGGACCTTGTGACAGTGTTGCCACCTGCCCTGTTGATCAGGCAAGAAGTCTTGGCGTCGTGCTTGACTTCTTCCTTTCCTCTATGCCTCATGTCATCCATGGACCAATCATGGCATTGGTCCCTGCACAACTTGCAAAATTCCAGCCCCATTCACTCCGTCATCTTGCTGAAAATGTTGGCTCATGTTCTAGGCCAGTCACCCGCAATCTGATATCTTCTAGATGTTTTGAAGTTTGACTCTCCTTAGCGCTGGCCAACATCTCCAGTGGTCAGGAAGACTGAGAGTTGTAGTCTAAAACATCTGGAGGGCGACATTTGGGGAAAGCTGCTCTAGGAGCATCAGGCACTGCCTTAGACCAAATCTGAGCACTGGTCCATGTAGGGCAGTATTGTTAACAGGGTCTTGTGGTAGATCTCCTGGGTTATAGAAGAGTCTTTCCCACCCCGCCTGGAGATGTCGGGGATTGAGTTCAAGGAATACGTTTGCAGTGTTAATCCGTCAGAGGGGAAAACAATGGTTCTTTTTTGCTTTTGCCAACAAAAACTGCAGCAAACATTGGAATATTTTGCATGAAAATGTGCCCATTCTTTGTTGAATGTTTCATTAACCATCTGTGTTGACATGCATATTATATTTTTCAATTCTCTTTTTCTGCTGAAGCTGGAAGTGGAACTGGTGCCAGTCAGCTGGTCTGGATTAATTTATTTAGCAACTCGCTGGCGAGGCTTTTATTCAAGGAAGCTTTCTAGAGAATCTAGACATGTCCCACCCCCTGCACTAAATCTGTGATAATCCAGCTACATTGTGAAACAAACTTGTGTTAGTCTTCTGGAAGAGCTTATTAGCATCTTTTCAACAGTGCAATAAGTGACACTTAGACTCTTTTCAGCACCTCAGGAGTCTGAAAGATGTGCATGTCCATCTCTCCTGACTTGCAAACACTAAGTGTGTAATTAAATGCTGCCACGTTTGATGGAAATTGTGAAGGAGCATTAAGGTTCCAGGGTGGGATGCACACGCATCTATAGAACAATATAAAGCGGCATTAAAAGTGCTATAAAAACAATGCACAAAGGGTCTGCGGAAGCCAGGGCAGCTGTTATCATGGGGGAACTTTCTCTGGTGTTTAAATGTTTGTTTTCATTTCAATAAAATGTGCACACTTAGAAGGAGAGCGTTCGCTCCCATTACAATCCGGCTCTTAGCCCAGCTATTCTGAGGATTGCACCAAAGCCAGAAGAAACAGGAAAGCCTGAGTGGGGTGGCAGCTTTCCTGTTCATTCTCAGCCCTGGTTCTACTACACCATAAAGTGAAAAAATCGACAGAGCAGACTCTTGGCCTTAGAATGCGACTGTAAAGGAAAGGAAGAATGTTTGCCCGAGAGTTCAATCTTGCAAGCCAGCTCATGCCAGATACGCATCTGCCTTCATTAAATGTCTGGCACATTGCATTGAAATCTGCCTCGCTAGCCCTTCAGTCCACTGGGGAGAGAAGGGTCAAGAGGAGCAAGTTCATGAACTGGAAATAGGGCTTACATTAAACACAACGTGGGCCTTTCCACAGCTCGTCTGCTGTAAGTTGTTGCTCATGTGCACTGCTTGGCTTGCAAGGACTGCCGGGCAATGGAGCCATTAATATTCTACCCACCCAGATGGATTTTGGCATCTGGGATATTTATTATTATCTTGTAGGACTTGGTCTTGAAACACTGCCAAGCCTGCAGCCAGCAAGGAAGTGTCGCTGTGCCCTGCGTCGCATGGGCACGGCTGCCTGCCTGTGAGGCTGGTGCCAGAGGAGACCCCGGGGCTCCCTGTGGAGAGTATCCTTCACACAGGGCTGGGAGGCTGATGGGCAGCCCTCACGTTCTCCTGCTGGAGGAATCCAAGAGGTTTTCTCTTCCGTCTCCCGTGCGAACGCATCATCTGTCTGCCACCTGCCCCACAATGACTCCTGAAGGATGTTTCATGACAATGGGGTATCGTTACTGGGGAAAACTGGGTGCAGAGGTGCACTGCTTTGGCAGCAATGGGAAGGCAATGCCTGTGCCTGTGTGTGCCTCAAAGTAATTCCTGGCGGCGGCGGCGGCAGCAGCAGGCATCCTGGAGGATGCTGCCCGCCCCTAGTCCTAAGAATCCATGTTCCCTCCTCACCTGAGAAATCATCCAGATGGGGCTTCCATTCTCCCAGCCTGCAGGCGGAACTGAAAAAATGGGAGGAGTTCTTCACCCATGCCTCTGGTCACTATCACTATGCATGCTGGTATTAGGGTTGGCTCTACCATTAGGCAGTGCCTCAGGCAACAGATCTGTGGTATCATGGAAGGACAGCCAGTTATTGGCTCTTGAATTTGCTTCTGCTGACCAGGTTCAGACAGCAAAATAACTCCCCCTTGGGTTGAGTATGGGTTGAGTCTGAGTTGTTGTTAAAACATGGGCTGTTGTGTTGTCTGAACCCAGCTGAGGAAATATACCGTGGTAAACAACCCACCATCCACAACCCAGCAATAAATCATCGGTTCTGTTCAGGATTTGCTTGTGGAGAACTAGCCATGGCTCATTAGTGCAGCTGGTTCAAATGAGACGGTAGCCCATGTTTCAGCAGCAACCCATGGATTAATGACAACCCACACAGAACCCTTGATTGTTCTGTCAGGTCTTAGGCCAGTCCTGTGTGGTGCTGTATAATGTATAAGGGGTTATTTTCACGAGGCATTGATTGTGTGCTTGTGGTTTCTCACTCTCTGAAATTTGTGAGTGCCTTGTATGATATGCTCATTCTTCAGGGCCTCTTTTGTGCTTTACAAGCATCGTACATGTTTTGTTTTAGAGTAAGGAATGTGTGGGGTTCTCCAGAAATGCTAGAACTAACTGGAATGAGAAGCACTTGCCTTTTTGTGATTCTACTATACTGCATCGCCACTTGTGGTCCTGTAATGGAACATACAGAACAGCTGAGAAAGGAAACAACCATCTCAGGAAGAAACACCTGTAAAGGAGTCAATCCCTCAAAGAATCCCACAAAGGCTCGGAGGTGTCAGTAAAGTGGTGGGTTAAAAGCTTCATGCAGGAAGCTCTAAGATGCTTCAAGGACCTTACAACCTAAAATTGAAATATGCAAGATATTAGGGGAGGGGAACTGAAAGTTGGGCAACCAGGGAAGAAGATAAATTTATTTCAGTTTATGCTCTCAGAGAAGTAGCCCAGTTTATGCTACAATCCTACCATCTGTAGTATGAAATTGATTATAGCCCATTTGACTACTACTTTCCATTACATGTCTAGACCAGACATTTCTGTGGGGCGCTGCTCTTGCTGCTTCCATTCCATTCCATTCCTATCCTGCTTTTTCCCTCTTGCAAGGAATCCAAAACAACTTTAATAGATCTCCCCATTCTATCCACACAGCAACCCTATGAGATAGGATAGGCTGAGAGGCTTTGTTTGGCCCTGAGTCACCAAGTGACCTTCATGGTCGAGTGGGGATCAGTTCTCCCACATCTCCAGTCCAGCACTCTAACCACTAGGCCACACTAGATGTTGCTCATATTTTAGAACATCACAGAGTGGTCCAGATGACAGGGCTTTGTTGTGAGGGTCCATTCTTTACTTTGAACCTTCCTCTTGCAGTCCTCAGGAGGAAGGCTGAGCGAAGGACTGCTGAGCCTCGTGCGTGTGCTCGCTCCAGCTCCTCTTAGCGCTGCGGCTGGCTCGTCACTGTTTTAGCTGCTGCATTTCCTTAGTGAGAACCCTGATCTATGAATAGGGATTGTTGTGAATGCAGTGAACAAACGCCTGCAGGAGTGCTCAGAATGGGATCCTTGCATCCCTTCCGAGCTGAGGGGAAGCAGCTTTGGCTGTGATGACAGACGGAGGCGGTGCGGGGGACGTGGTGGGGAGCAGGACTCTGCTCGGCGGTCTCCTGCGGGGCAGATGCACACATTCCCTCTTCCGGGGAGATGGAGCAGGCCCTGAATGATACGCATGACGTTCCCGCGCTCCTTTTCCTTGCATCTTTGTCCATCTAAAGCAGCTCTGAATGTATTTCTTACGAGGACCTGCATTTATTTATTATTATATTTCTATCCCACCTTGTTTCTCCTGCGTGGAACCCAAAGAAGCTTATATGATCTTCCTCTTCTCCATTTTATTCTCACAACAACCCTACAAGGTAGGTTAAGCGTAGAGTCAACGACTGGCCCGAAGTCACCCACTGAGCTTCGTGGCTGAGTGGTGCTCCTGAGTCCCAGACTGGCACTCACTGGTCCATCACTTTCTGCTTTGAATCTGTGGAAAGACAACATTTAGGAGACAAAGAAGGCTGAGCAGGGCCTGGGTTGCCCAGTCTAGGCCAAACCTAATGTAGGCAAGCCCAGGAGAGTTACTTCAGGCCCCGCTTGTACATTTACTTTTGCAATGAAGCTCTCCAGAAAGTCCTGCTTTTTATGCACGAGACTGTAATGAACAAGGATTACTTTATGTCTTCCCAGCCTGCTTCGCCCTACTGCCCCTCTTCCCTTTCCCCCAAATGCTGGCCTCACGCTTGTTCCATGGTTTTGCATTTTTTTCTCCCACATGCAAAAAAATTGAAATGCCTATTTCCTGACAATCGGAGCTTTAAGCTACAATGCACAGGCACTTTTGCTTTTTTTGGCCACGTCCCCTTTTGTGTTTGGCCCCAGCAGCACTGGAATGTGGCTCCTGAGAACTTCTGTCAACTGGAATTCAGTCCTTGTGCTGAAAGAGGCTCCGCATCCCTGCTTCAGGCACTGGGAGCAGCTGGTTTGGGCTGCTCGTTTGGGTGCCATCAAAAAAGCAGAAAATCCTTA